CTTCTAAAAAAATAAAATAAATGCACGTTACTTCTAACAACAAAAAGCTATGGATAATACATGTGCTGAAATATCATCTTTTTTAGTAAGACACCATAAGATTCATCAGCTACAGAGTCAGTCTTTGTTTTCCACTAGGTTGCCATTAGGCAGGCAAGGTTAATTATGACCACAATGCATCCCATTCTCTAGGCTGACACAGCTGTGCAGTCTTCTCTATTATTATAGAGCATACATGCTGTACTGAGGTTGAATACTGTGCAGATTAGAAAACACAGCTCCTGCCAAAGGTCTTCTACGAGCTTATTCAAACAACACATCGGAAACAAAGAACAAGAGTGTCCTGAGCCACCACACATTTGCAGCTTGACCTTAAGTAACTTCATGAGGAAAGCAAAGTTCTTTTTGGCATATACGTGGCTGTCACTGCTGTACAGATGGGTCCCTGAGAAGGGAGGAACCGCACTTCCTAGAATTTAATTGCATAATAAATGGATTCTTCATAGCATTTATGGGAATTGTCATCTGCCATTGACTAACCTATTAGGTTTGGGGAGATTTTTTTTTCTTTCAGCCTTCTCTTTCACAAGCTATCATTAGTCATACGTGAAGATAGCCCAGAATACAGTACCCAATGTTCCACCTGCACGAGCCAGATATCCATGCCAGGTATTGAGGTTTCATTTATTACCTTTGATATCCCTGCTTAAGTTTTTTGACTGCATTTACATATCCCTCTCCTCATACTCCATGATAATATCTTGCAAGGTGAAATGAGTTGAGTAAACATCATCTCTTCCAGTGTACAGAATGAAGACTGAACCGTTGCTAATCTAGAATACATTCTTCCCAGTAACCTGGCAGAGAAGCTGTGAATTTCCATGTGTTGATGTAAATCACTGCAAACAGACTGAACATCTTTTACATCGTTTTTCAATAAGGTTCTTGGTACTGGTTTTGTTGTGTACTTTGCCATTTACGTATAAGCATGTCAAATGAACAGATTTTCTAAATCTCCCCTCATATTTATCCATGGTAAATCACACTTGACTGCTTAGCTATCATGAAGAAGTGACTGGCTCAGTAGGAGAGACAGGAATACTGGATTTCTTTAACCTTGACCTAGCGAGGCTGTCAGAACTACCCCTCCAAGTATCTTTGCAAACTTGGGGACATATGGGCTAGATTAGTAGGCTACAGCAAGGTCAAAAAGAGGCTGAACTGTGAGACCGAGCACTTTGTGGTTCAAGTGACACCAAGTCATTAACAGCATTCCTCAGGGGCCAGTACTGAGGCTGATACTGCTTAACATTGTAGGCAGGGCCAGAATTGCCATTCAAAGGGGCTTTGACAAGCTGAAGGAATTTCTCAACCAAAGGATCATGAAGTTTGACAAAAGCAAATAGAAAGTCCTCCTCCTGGAACAGAACCACTTCACGTTGGGATTATCAATCCAATAACTCTGTGTCTGCACAGGCTGCAAATTGACTACCTAGGTTTCAGATCTGCAAGCTATGAGTTGCAGGGAGCTGGAGGTATATCCACAGGGACAATAAGACAAATGTGAACCAGCAGAGTGCTCTTGCAGCAGAAAAGATAACTGATGTGCTGGGCTGCATCATCAAGAACATAAGCTAGCAGCATGAGGGAAATGAAAATTCTCTCTGACAGCACTAGTGAATTTTAATATCTACCATATCCAGTTATAGGCTCCTCAGTGCAAGAGGGATACTGTTAGACCAAAGAAAGTCCAATAGAGAACCACTGAGATGATTAGAACACTGAAGAATGCCTGAGAGAAGCTGATGAAGGTTGGCTTGTTTGACCTGGATGATGTTACAGCTACAACTTTCCACTACCTAAAGGAGGATATATTAATATCTCTGAATCTTTAAGTGGAGACTGGGGGAGCAAAATCTATCCTAGTGTAAGAGAAGTGAAAGTAAGAGACCCCCTCACGAGACTGAATGCGTACAAGTCCATGGGACTGGATGACATGCATCCCAGAGTTCTGAGGAAACACTGATTTGGTTGCCAATCCACTATTTGAAAAAAATGGCCGTTGGGCAAAGTCCCTGGTAACTGGAAAAAGGAAAACATCGCTCTCGTTTTTATAAAAGGGAGAAAGGAAGATCCAGGGAATCACAGGCTAATGAGTTTCACCTCAGTGCCTGGGAAGATCCTGGAGCAGATCCTCCTGGAAGCTATTTTAAAGCACATGCAAGACAAGAGGGTGATCTGAGTCCAAGCTGGTGGCCTTTTATGTTGGCAACCATGCACGGCATCCCCATAGCAGGGAATTCGATGATTTTTTAACATCACTTCAACCCAAGCCATTCTATGATTATAGAGAAGGTGGACCCAGATCCTTCTAACAGGTGCATAGCAAAAAGACACAACAAAGCAAATACTAATTAAATGGTAGAAAAGTTCTTTTTTACAGCAAAGGTAGTTAAGCACCGGGTCAGGTACTCAGAGATTCTATAGAATCTCTATCCTGGCGGACGGTCATAATTCGAATGAAGAATGCCCTGAGCATCATAACTTTAAGTTAGCCCACAAGGGCTAACTCAAGACCTAAATTACTCTCTGATCTGCCTGGAGCACGTGTGACTTCCGGCATAAAGAGCTCTCAGCTATTTCTGTAGAACTACCTGCAGTCATCTCTTGAAGTGGTGATACCGCCCTCCACATCTGGGCTTCAAGGACAGATCCTAAACCCTTGCAGAGCTCCAGGTCCACTCAACTCAAAAATAAATAATAAAAAAAAAGAATTAAAAAACCCAAGTTCTCACTTCACATTTGGCATAATTCAAATCTTAATGGCAGTATGTAACTAGATTAATCTAGGCCTTATTCTGATGTTATTTAATAAGTAGCAATCTGAAAAACAATAGCCATTCATGGCAACAGTAAAATTACATCTAGTGGCTTTATAGTCACCACTCCAATCCATAATATTTTATATTTATCATCCATAACAAGAGACTTACTATACCACATTCTGAATTTTCTACTATTTAAATTCTGTTTCTTATCCATGATTTTGCTCTCATAGTTTAGCTAATTGACAACAGTATTATATCCATTCAACATGTGTATACATATATGCATTCTTGCTTTCATCAGCTTAACAGAGAAGAGGGGACTGGAACTTCAGCTCATTGACCAAAATTTGAAGTTACATTTTAACCAAAATTATATAATCACTGCTGTCACAAAACTTTCTCTTAGTATGAGCAAGTGAAGTGAAAGATTCTAATTCAGTTCCATCCTCTACCATATTTCACAGGACTCTAAATGCAAATTTCTTAAGAAATCTTTTTCATACTTAAAAAAGTTCAATACTTTTCTATTTTTTCCCCCCTCAGTTATTTTTTCCCATTGCCATTGCTTTACCTGGTACAGAGAATGTTTCTACCATCCATCTATTCCATTCAGAGGAATACAGCAGGTGTGCAAGAAGTGCATAAAGAGTAACTAATGATCTTCTTGGGAATCATGAAGATATGCTGACAGAGCAAGTGAGAGCCCACATAATTCTCTTCCCTCCCACAGTTTGGCAAAGCAGAAGGCAAGGTACTATAGTCTGAATAAAGTTTCAGGGCACCACTCATTCACAGTCAAGAGGTGAGGCATTTCCAGTTTATTTTTATGCTAATTGAAGTCAGACAAGTTGAACACTTCATGTTATCTGCTTTCAGATGTCTAGATATGAAAGAGCCAAAATTTCTGTCTCACGTTGAACGAGGATTTTTGTCCCACCAGCAGAAAGATAAGCCAACAGAGATTGTGTCAGAAGTCAGAATCAAGTTCCGTCATTAAAAAAGTAATAGAAAATTACCTAAGTCCCCTCAAGGTAGGGATACAAAGATGTGGATAATTAATTTGTACATGAGGAACTGTACAGAATTCTTGTGTGAGTGAAAAACATAATCCAATATGATTCCGCCTTTGAGGAAAGCAAGGACATTACAATGTAACTAACTTCAAGATTCCTTGTCTAGTTTGAGCCTTGCCATAAAAAGGCTTCCTTAGAAATGAGTGTAGACACACACAGAGACGAGATCACATGTCCATAGCTACCTGACAGCTGTTTGCTACCCCACTGAAACAGACCAGACTCTTTTCGACCAGAAGTTACAATAACACAAGGAAGGATGTGCAGAAATAAACTGCTAACGTTCTTCACCATTATCTACCTAGAAGAATATAGATTTGAAACAAAACAAACTTTAAATATTTTAATTGTAGTAATATGGAGTAGAATTAGAGGAAGAGATGTTTCCAAAGAATGATCTGGTTTTATGCCTCACATATGTTTTCTGAATAGATCTCCTTAGCCTTTTTTTCCCCCCTTTTTCCTCAAAGTTAGGCAAGCGTTCATTAAGTATGCTAATAAAGGTTAGTATTCAAAGAACACAAAAAGCTTTACCCCCAATTAAAGCATTGCATGAAGCACCGATCATAGAGGGAAAAAAAGTTATAATACAGAAGATCAGAAAGGTGGTTACTGAGTGAGATTTCTCCTGTGTGGGTCGAGACTGAAATCCTAACTCCTCACTTACGACCTCTGTTCCATACGGTACCTGATATCCTTTTTCTTTTCAGTCCCGATTTACTCAGGTAACAGATAAGAGAGGGTGGGTGCTTCGAACATGCCCGCAGGCTAGAAGACACACACTCCCTCACAGCCCACCTGGGACGAGCACTGAGCCCACGGGATAAACGCGTTTTAAGCCCCTGAACAACGGCCCCGCTTCTGAAATTGCCACTCGGAACAGAGATAGGCGCCGGGAGGGCTTCCACCCAAGCTGCGCTGACATCAGAGCCGGTTACTGACGCTCAAGCAAGAGGCGGAGGAAACTCAGGAGAGACCGAAGCAGAGAGCACCCGGCGCCCGCGGTTAGCGCAGGACCCCCGCGGCCCCTCCTCGGCAGGGGAACGCCGCTTCATCCCCAGTACGGCAAAACCAGCCGGCGCTTCCCCGCCGCACCCACCTTCCACCGAGCGGCCGATGCTGTGCAGGTGGGTGAGAGCCGGGTGGGCGGCGTGCACCTCCTTCAGGTACGCCTCCAGCTCCTCGCTGTGGTGGTACTTGTAGTCCAGCGCGGACAAGAGAGAGACCAGGCAGAGGACGCCCACCGCCTCCTGGAAAGAAGCAGACGAACCAAAAACCCGTGACCCCGCTGAGGGAAGGCGGTCGGAAGGCTCGTCGGTGCCCGGCTCCGCCACAGCCCGCCCGCCGCCCCTGTGATGAGCAGGTGGCTCTCCCCGCTCTCCTACCCCAGCTCCCGTCCGCATGCTGCCACCGCTCCTCACAACTGCAGCCCCGGCGCCGGGCGGGGGCCGCCATCCCCGCCGCCCGGCCGCGCCCTGCCCCTGACTGACGCCGGCTCCATCCACTCAGGTCCCCCCGGCCCGCCCAGGGGCCGAGGGAGGACGGGAGGAGGGGAGGGGGGAGCTCCCTTACCCGCCCCGCCGGCGGCTCTCACCTGAGCGGCGGGCCGCTCCCGTCAGCGCGGGGGTGGCGTGGCCTCCCTCCGCCGTGAAGTTTGAAGCTGCCGCCTCGCTCCTCATCCTCCCTTTCCACGACCCTCCACGTAGGTTGCCGGGGGGTAAAGGGCTGTAGCACGCCGCCGGCCGTCGCTGCTGCTGGCTCGGGCGGGGCTGTTCCTGAGGAAACACCGGGTCCCCCCGCGGTTTTGCCCCTCATTTTTCTCCCTCTGAGGTTTAGGAGGGGCTGAACCACGCCTGCTGTGTGCAGGACGGCTCCTAAGAGAATATGGGTGTCCGAATCTGACAAAACATCTGCTTGGCAGCTTTTCTTTAAAATCAGTTTTTAATAGGCTCGGATTCACTTGGATTATATCTACGAAATAAAGTGCTTCTCTTGTTTTTTTTTGTGCTAGCCAAATTGCTTTGGGGATATCCTGTTGTTGGGATTCACCACAGACGCATTTTCATCACCTTTTATTGTCTTCTTTAGTATTGAAAAGAATTGAGAGAAAAAAATGAAGTTGAGTTTCTGCATCAAAAGATGGGATGGCATCAAGATTTCTTTTAAAATACGATGTAGCTGTAGCTGTGAGCTGAAATACAAGTGTTCATCTGCACTGGAGAACTTTGGTGAGCAAGTCAAAAGACGGTTTTCTTTACAACTCACAGCAGGATGCCCTCTGCTGCCTTCAGATTTTAGAAAAGGAAATCAGTGTGTGATTCAATCCAAAATAACAGATCCTGTGTTCTGGATAGAAGGCTCTGATAAATAAAAAGTTTGTTCTTCTTATTATTTTTTAACTCAGAAGCTTTAAGAAAAACAACAAAGTGTATTTTGGTGCAAGCATCTGTATCCCAATGTGCCAAAAGCATAAACATCTAAAAATGGTGGTAAGAGATCTGTGTTCAGACACCTTAAGAAGCCTTAGTTCATGGGAAGAACTACCTTGTGCCATATGACAAGGGATACAGTGTTTAAAGCTACTTGTTTTAACAGAGTACATAGCATTAGTCTTCTGTTGAATGATGTTCCTTCTAGCATGGACTTTTGCAGGAGGTGGCAGCCCCATAACCCTTGTTCCACACTCAAACTCCACTATTTTCTAACACTCAAAAGTTTACAAGATCTTTCCTTACCTTTTGTCAAAGAACATTCTTACAAGGCATAAATATGGGTATCTTTATATTATTTACTTAAATAGTTAATAGTTAATAGTTGGTTGCAGTTACTTGCATTTGCTACATGGCATGGAAGAGAAGCTGTTGGGTTACACTGAATATGTTCAGAGAAGCAGAAGGCAGAAGTCAAGTACATGGGTCTCACGTTTCAACATGTGAGACCTGAATGTGTGTGTGTGTATATATATATATATATACAGGCACCTTGAAAGATGATCTGATGACGCCATTTGAGTAAGCAGGAAAGAAAATAATTTCACTGGTAATCCCACATATACACACTTGGAAACTATCCCACTGTAGTCACGTGAAATCAGAGAACTATGACTCTGAGTAGGGTGTTGGCAGCATTGTGAAATGACAGGGGGCTGTAAAAATTAATCTCAGTGAAATGAGTAAAAACACCTTTGATAATTGCACAGTATTATCTCCTTTTGAAATCACACCACTCTTTACTGTAGCCAAGAGAGTCATGGTTAAATGAGAGCATTGCAGTTTTTAGGAATTTCAAAAACACTTCAAAATGATAGATTGTTTCCACGCTAGGTGCTTGCAAGATAAGACAAGTCATCCTTTGGGGTGTTAATATGAGTTACGTGTAACAGAATCCATTTTTGTTTGTTTATGTGATTGTTTTAAGCCTGCATTGTAATAGGAAGTACAAAGCTTGAGGATACCTGTTGCTCCTGAGTCACTTTTCAGAAGGTCAGTTTAATCCAAACTTGGCAAATGATATACCTGCTTACAAGATTGTTCTTGAAAGTCAGAGCTAAAGACCAAATACTGTGTAAAACTATCAGTGATAAATCTCCTATTGTCAAAATCAGGCACTACATGTCAAGGCTGATACTGACTGCAGTATATTCCCAGCACTGCAGTGGAAAATGATCCCTCTGATGAAGCAAGGTAAATGAAGCTCTATTGCTGTAAACAGCATTGACTGCTCTCCCCTCAGAAACATTCAGGATCATCCAGTGAAATTTATTTGACAAGCAACTATTAAGACTAACACCTGAGCATGAGTTTTGTAGGAAGAAAATACAATTTTTGAAGTGAAATTCTCACCTGTGAATCTCAGCAGTTACTTGGAAGTAGATGGAAATAGTGTAACGATACGAGTGGCTGTGTTGCCCTCTAGTGACAGGTTAAGAAAATCCTGCCAGAAGCAACAGGTAGGAAAAATTCCTCATGCACTGTATGACACACTACAGAAATACATTTAGGATGGGTTTCAGCAGTAAAAATTTCTGGAAGCTTTGTGGTTTTTGAGAACCAGTCACAAAACAAATCCTGGCTTTTGAAATCTTGCTCAGTGTTTTGTCATCTGTCATACAGGATTTCATCACTTTCCAAAGATTGGTAAGAAATAATAGTGTCCCAAAAAATGTTTTTGATGAGAAATAAAAGAAGCCACTAACAAGATTTTTTTTTTTTTTTTTTTTTTTTTTAGGGTTGCTGCTGCTTTTAAAACTTTCCCATCTGAAATAATGTCCTAGGCTTACAGACTGGAGCTTCAGGTTCTTTGAGTCTGAGTCTAGGTAGCAACAAGAACCTCACGATCAGATCTGTGGTGTGGGAAAAGACACGAGATAAAGTCTTTCTCAAGTGAGGAGGATCAGATGGGTGAGTTCAGTACAAGTGATGACACAGAAACACGAACTTGGTACAACTTCTCAGTCCTGAATTAGTATAAACGCAGATACCAATCACTGGAAAAAGCTGTGATGAAGCCCTTCTAGAATACAACACCCACTGTGCTGAATTAACAGGCTGCTTCTTAGCCTGGCAAACATTATTTTCGCTGTATGACAAAGAACAAAAGCACCAGAAGTCACTCAAGTATTCACCAGCTTATTAGTCGTCTCTACTATGCAGACAGTTCTAAGCTGAGGCTTGCATACTTGGTTCATAAATCTCCTTCTCTCCATCCCAGCACAAGGATTACTCCTGGAGAAGAAAGGGATGCCCTGCTGTGTCTGGTAATCTGCAATTAGAAAATTATCCCAAGGGGGACTGTTAGCAGCTGGTATAGTTTAGAGCTGTCCAGACAAGCACTGAATTAGCTGGAGAATCTGGAACCACAACTAGCTGCTTAACAAGCCTCTCACTTCTCCAGTCTTGCAAACAGCAGCATCTGCATACAGCAGAGATTTTGAGCTACTGTATGACAACATACACTGTCGTGCTATGCTGGAACAGGTCAGTTCTGCTCCACAGTAGGTTAAAGCATTTGTTTAGATACAAGAAAGCGTGGGAACGTGACCTTGTTCAAGGCAGAGTTCTTTGGTGTTATGCGTTGAGTATTGTAGTACAGTTGTAAAATGTTTTGGATTTATCTTTCTCCTCTTAAACTGGCTTATTATACTTGCCCTTTCAGTAATGCACAAAATTAGACCTAATTTGAAAATAGATTAGTTCCGGAATGGCAGAATTTAATTTAGCCCCTGGAGGATGTTGGGTCCCTTAGCAGCTAAGTACAGTGAGGAAAGCCAGGAGGGTTTGGTGGGAAGTTCAGTGGGCTGGAAACTTGTGAGTTTTTGGGAACTAAATAGGAAAAGGAAGGGAAGATATGTCCGTAGGGGTTTTGAGGAGGTGGGAAGACTGAAACCTGGAAAGATGGGTAAGAAGGTGGAAGTATTATGGACACTGTTGTCCAGGTAAAGCAATTTGGAGGATTCAGTGGGGGTGTTTCATAGAGAAAGGAACTGAGAGGAGTTTCTGTCACTGACATCCTGCTAATCTGAGTACAGCATAATTAAACTTGAGGGATTTAAGATGTTGACATAGCACCCTGTCAGGTCTCCTAATTTGTATATTAAATGCATTGCAGTTAATACCATGAAAATTACAGAGATTCACCTCAGATAATTTCTTGCTGATATTAAGCAATGCTTTTGAGAAATCTGAGTTCTGTCCCAACAGCTGGACCAATTTCAGCTTTCAACATGTGGAAATATCAATTTTTGGAAAAGATTTTCGTCATTTTTGCTAACCATCTTCAAATCCAAATATCTTCCTAATTGCCATTGTCATGAAGAATGCAACACTCTTACTCACATTAATGGCTAGCCTGTCTCTTTAAAACAAAATTCCCTCAGGCCACTTAATCAACGTATCTGTTTCAAGTAAACAATGGTACCATTTCCTGAACAATAAATTAGGAATTCTTTAGAAAACTTGGTTGTGTAATAAGAAAAAATCCAAACTTCCATTTATCTGCACTGATTTATGCAAACTGGTCCTCTACACAGACAACCAATTAAACAATATGCACTGCAATCTCCTATCAATATAGCAATATTTTGAACAATTTTTTTTCTTTGGGGGAGAGAAAAGAAAAGGGAGATTTCTAGATATCGATGTCTATGAATTTATCAATCAGCAGTTAAAAAACGGATGTTTAATGAAGCAGTAAACAGACATGCATCTTGCTTGACCTCCTTGAAAGCAGCTGGTGAGCTTTTCTTGCATTAGTCTGTACTTGCTGTGTACTGGTTAGACTGTTGTTTATTAAACCATATGGTTCTGTGAGGCTCCGTTTCTCCAGAGACAAGGGTGTGGTGTCATAGTCAGATTTAACTAACCTAAAACTGAACTTACACTGAGAAAGTCATAACAGCACCCAACCCTGTTGCTTCCTATTTCCTAGCGTAGGCACGCAAGCAGCCATGTGGGCAGTTGAATCAGGGAACTGATTCATCTGGAAGGTAATCCTGCAAACACACACACACAAAATCCAAAAATTGTCTTCATTTTCACCTGGTTCAGCTTGCTGGTCCATCCATTATAAGCACTGTTCTTGACTGAGGGAGTAGAAAGAGTAGGTGGCCAGAGAGCAGAAAGAACATGCTTTTTAGGAAAGGCCTACCTTGGATCAGCCAGCACCAATCACGTATCTGCAACTCAGATAGGATATTTAAAGTGAACTGCTGGCAAGAGGTAGGTGGATATGTGATAACATAGGTCAAGAGAGAACTTCTTCATAGAAGCGAGGTGTGCTCAGAAGAGAAAGACTCTTGTCTCTCAACAGTCACCTCAGTTCTGGTAATGACTCATTCCTGAGAGACAGACTGGACATGAAATCCTGTAACTCTTCACCGCTGGCAATATAGGCACAGTATTACTGAATTTAACCATAGATTAATTAGTGTTTATCTAACCAACTTAATCAAAATTAAATGCTATTTCCAATGTAGAAAGCCCTGTTTGTCTTATGCTGTTGCTTATTCTGCCCAGAAAAGGAT